CAATAATATTCTGTAATATGTGGAGCTGAATTGTGTCCCTCAAAAAGACTTGAAGTCCTACCCTATGGTACCTCAGAACAAGGTGTTTGGGAATGAGGGCATTGCAGCTATAGTTTACTAATTGATATAATACTTAAGAAAGGTTGGTTCTTAAATATCTATAAGAGACAGACACAGACCCAGACACACAGGGGAAGCAGCCGTGTGAAGACAGTGGCAGTTATTGGAGATGTGCTGCCACAAGCCAAGGAATACCTTGGCTAGGACATGCAGAAGCAACAAGGAAGGGTATCGGGTAGAGAGTTTGCACAGAGCTGGCCTCTGCACTGTATTTACTTTGAATTTCTAGCCTACTGAACTGAGGACAATAAATTATTGTTGTAGCACTTTGTTATGGCAACAGAAAGAAAATAATGCACACAGTTTTTAGAGTTCTCTGACCTTAGGACTCATTTCCCTAAGTATGGCTTTGCCCAACTCCAGGACTTAAAATTGCGCTATTTTTTTTTTCTGCCTTTTAGCTTTTATTTTCTTACTTAACTGCTGAAGGATTAATAATCATCCTCCAATGATTTCTTGAAACAGAAGTGAGTGGGAGCCAGCCCATACCAGTTCACAGGGTACAAATGCTTAAGTTTCAGGAATTTTGCAAGCCTACTTCTAAACAAAGCCATTATTTAAAAAATGGCATTGTCTTATCTTTAAATTAGGCAAATTTAAACACAGTTCATACATCATCGAAATTCAACATTTCCTAATTATTTGATTAAACTATACTGCTATGCTCTTAAGCATATTTGCATAAATAATTCATTATTATTAATTCGTTTACATAAAAAGTTGCATTCTACTTACATCTATTTTATCTGCATGGTAGACACGCTAGGTAATGCTGTACTACTGACCATCTTTTCCCAATACATATTGGTTGCTTGGTGTCAGTAATGTAGTTACATTATGAAAATTGTCAAAATCTTCAAATCAGTTAGTTTGAGATTTTCAGAGAGCTAGTTGTAAACATTTATCAACATGACATTGACATAACCTATAAAGTTCATCCCATAAACCAAACTGGAATCACTATACAGAAACAGACTAAGATTAGCTGAAGAGATCTTTTTACTTGACCCAGAATAGAGCATTTCAATAGAAATTCAGTGCCCAGAACAATAAGAAAGGCTATTACAAATAACGAAGGCGAAAATTTGACAGGGATTCTGAAGGAGAGATAAAGGAAACTTAGGTGCTAGTGACCTACTTTTAGTAATGTCTACTAAATCTCTCACTGAGGTGATTAACTGATTATAAATATTAATTAGATTTCTATAAGAGTACTATTTAAAGGAATTGTGCTCCTCATGGGGAGGTATTTCAGACACATAGGAGATAGTTAGCTAGATGGAAATAGTTCACACATACAACTTGCTTAAGGTAGTAATAAACTAGATGATTTCACTAAGTAAAACAGATCAACCCAGCCACAAAATTATGAGTCAAATGACTCTATAAATAAGGTAGTTAAAACTCTGTAGCTATAGCAGTATAATTCTACCATATATGGATATGGTCAACAGTGTTTTGTTTTCACATGGTACCTTCTTTGTTACACATATAAGCTAAACAAAAATATTTTTAGAAACAGTAAGTAGCTCAATGCACTTAAAGCAAAGACTTAAAGAAGCTGATATGCCTTAAATAGTTACCACTTCCTAAACTTTTTAATGTAATTTGAGGTGACTGGCTCCTTGATATTCTTCTGCCCTGTGGGGAGTGAAGTGTCAGGTTAGAGACTCCACCCAAGTCCTGGAACTCTGTGCCAGCAAGAGTTAGAAACACTGCAAACTTTCAATCAATGCCAGAAGGAAGGTGGAAGGGCTTTCTTCTCCTAACCACAATGCCGATGGCAGGTCGGGGAGTGGCCTTAAAACAGTGGACAAAGCCTATTTGAGTCTAAGTTTGCATTCCACAAAGCCTCTCAGACCAGGAAGTATTCTGCCCGCGGTATGTGTAAAGCATGCATCACCTCCATCTGCTGTGATGGATGCATTCTTTCAAAAGGTGGTTTGACTATTATCTTCTTTTGAAGTCCTATAAAGTCTCCAGTGTAGGTTTTATTGGTCTTGTTCTGTACTGTTTTGATCAATTCTATTATACCTGATGATATAGGCAACTCTTTGTAAAAACTGCAAGAGGAACAATGGTTACCATTTTTGATCATCTGGTATTCTATTTTTGCATCATGTACTATGACCATCCTTTTGTTCTAACTGACTCTGTTTTGTTTAGTCACGTTTGGTTTTATTCTCTTCAAAAAAAAGTAATAAGAACTGTGGGAGTAATAAGACCCAAAAAGTGTAATTGTTATTGTAAAAAAAAGAAAAGGAAGGTGGTCTAAGGGATATAACTGCATGTGTGAGTGTGTAGGATGGAAAACCATATTACTGAGCATTTATTGGATCACTGAACGGAACTGTCTACAATCTCACTGTATGAATGTCCACTTTATATGCTTTAATTTTATAATTTGGACAACTGTTTCTAAGATGACAATATGTAACCTATTAACTAGTGATTTCTTACTGTATATTTTTTTCTTGAAGTTCTGTATTACTTGTACCCTTTTACTGCTTTGTTTTTGTATTTCCTTTCTTTTTTCTCTTTAAATAAAAAAAAAGATGTCATAGGCCAACAATGTTCCTATTTCATTAACCACCATTATTCAAATCATCATCATTATCATCATTATCATAAATAACAAACTCCCTTCTTCTCTGTGAACACAAGCTACCAGCAGAAGAAACTCCTGCTCTTAAAGTCCTCCACATTTTAACTCCCATTCTTAGATTCCTGATGCACTTTAAATAAGAAAAAAGAGAAAGTCTAGCTCATGTCTCAAAAGGAAGCCTATATAAATGTGCAAGAAACGTATCACAAACACAAATGATCCAATAACTGGTTTTACATTTCGGTGTTTCAGTATTTGGCTTGCACAAACACCCTGAAGCTGGAGTGGTGGTTGATGTACTAGACAAAGGGTAACAGAGAGGGAGTGCTGTGAGGAGTGCTGTGGGCTCTTAGTCTGTGCCTGTCTGTCTGTCCTTCCTTGTTCCCTCCCCTGGTTGCTGACCTCTTTCCTACCTTAACATCACCACCCTCCCACCCCAGCCCCAGCCACATTATTGCTGCTAATTTTCAAAACCAACACAGGCAATCAAAATAGTAGGAACAGCTAGTAAAACCATCTCACACATTTTTCTCACACATGAGTTTTCTAAACAAACAAAAAATATGATTCAAAAATCAAAAAGGTATAAGACTTATTTTCAAGTATTTTGGATAAGCTGATACCCTCAGATCACACCTTACAAACACTGTTATAGATCTAATAGATTTGTGCCTCAATAGGCATTGAAAATTAGCTAAACTGATATTCAAAATGCCTCTATTTTAAAATAAAATGTCATAAAGCATTAAACTGAGAACTTTTTAAAAGCTTAACGTAACTAGGATTATGCGTTCCCTATAGTAGCATGTTACTTTTACATATATGACACATTTTTACTTTCATTTTTTTCTACAGGCTTTCTTAAAAAGCAAGATACAATTTTCATTTTTTACTTGTATTTAGCATCAAATACTAGTTTTGCTCTGTGATTCATAGCAATAAAGATGTTCCATTATTTTGTAGTTACATTGATCATAATTTAACAATTAACTTTTTAGTTGACCATTTTTAAACTAGATATTGTATTATGTCTGTGGGTTGTTCCTTGGCTAGCCTTGGGCTGGGCTTTGTAAATCTCTAGTACTAAAAACATATGCATGTTCCTGATTTAAAATGCAAGCCTTCCATAATTACACTGCACGCTGCAACTGCTCTGCAGTTATCCAATTTTCAAACAATATGCAGTTTTACAGGTGAGTTGAGATTGTCTTGCTTGTCTTTGATTCCATAAATGGTGCTTCAGACTTTGAAATGGGGTACCTAACTTACAAATATTTTCTTCGCTTCTTTTTGAGAGGGAAACACAATATGCAAATTTCTGGCATGCTGACAACACTTTCAACAACTTTTTACCTGACATGAAAGATTTCACTGGAAAGGCCTGTTTTCTCTCCTTTGAAAGATTCCTAGATCAGACTCTAATAAAATCAAAGTCTGTCTTGTGTGTATTTATGTTCCCACAATTATAAAACCCTACTGATGTTTGGAAGGAATCAAGAACAGGGATAGCCCTAAACTTTGTCCCAGGGATAGCACTAAACTTTGAAATGCTTCACGAGAAACCAAAAATATATATAGTTTACTGGATCAAAACTATAGTATACTCTAAGATCACTGATACAAATCCAATGTTGAATCAGTCCTATAAGCTGTATAATTTATAGTAATTCACTTGATAGAAGTAGCTCAGATTAATAGTTTGAACTGGAGTTTCTTCTAAATAGCTGAAAATTATAGATAAATTATCAAAGAAGACAATTTTTTAGCAGTTTCCGTCACTGTTTTTTCTTTATAATTAAATCGAAAATAACTCAGCAACTGACCTTTTAAAAAATTTATTGTCTCGGTGGCTTTGTGACTTATTCTGAATATTTTATTATTCACTTCAACTTGAAGTGATATGGTATAATTTTGGAATGAGAATTATTTTGAAGTATTCTTTGAACTTGTGGTTAAATCTCTACACTTCTTGTTAGGGTAGAGTTACAAGGAAGAGCTTCTAGATGTGTTTGTTTTTAGGAAGGAAAGAGGACTGGAAACAACACTAAAATTAAAGTTACTCTCATCCCCGTATAATTCTTTAAAAATTATTTTAAGGGTTGTAGCCACCAGGCATTTGGGCCTGGAAAACTACAAACCTAATACGTATTCTCCCTACTAAAGCAGGTCCATGAAACTCTACCCTTAGCAGCAGGGTTGGGGAAATTTCTGTTGCTCTTCTTGTCTGTGATATACGGTGCAAGGGTTGGCCCGGGCTGGGTCCACCTGCCAGCGGAGTTTAAAGTTTCTAGGGCTCCGAGGAACACAATGATTTGGATCAAACGGGCTAAATGGGAAGCAGAGCATTTCTGCTAATCAAGGAAGCCGTCCTTGGAAATCCTGCTAAGTCAATTATCTTTTCTATGCGTCCACGCCGCGCGGAAACGCCCGACCGACCTCCTCTTCCACTGACCAGAAATTCTTTTTGACAATCAAGGATATTCTGAAAGGTTGGAGACGAATGCTTGGAAAATGAAACGACCCGGGAATGTGATCACATCATTATTTTGTGTTGGGTAGGGCCAGATGGGCTCCCGGTCAAAGACTCAGGGATGTGAACCCATAGTTTTATAATGCGAATTTTCTCCCCATAAAACTAAAGCCGATTTCATTTCCCTCTCTTTTCGTTTGGTCGGTAGTACTTGCTTTATCGCCTCTGCGGTATCAGCTGAACTGTGCAGTGGGGTAGCCAGAAAGGACGAGATGAGGCGGTCTGGCTCACCCTAGGAAAGTGTCGGAGGAGTCGCAGAGGCCGGGGGGCTGCGGCGCGGCGCGGGCTGCGAGGATTTCAGGGCGGTCATGGAGCGGACGGTGCGCTCGGTCCGCGGAGGGTAGAGCCCGGCGCGCCCGGAGGCGTCTGCAGGTCTCGCCGCAGGCTTCTAGGCCGTGGCTGCCTCACATCCACTGCCGTTCAGTGCCATTATCACTACTGTCGAAAAGTCATGGAAGACGGCCCGCTCCCGGACCTCAGAGATATCGAGCTGAAGCTGGGGCGCAAAGTACCCGAGAGTCTAGCGCGCTCTCTCCGCGGGGAGGAGCCGGTGGCCGGGGAAAGAGACAGGGACCCCTGCGGGGAAAGCTTCGCCACCGGCGGTGGTGGCTGCAGTAGGAGCAGCAGCTGCTGCAGTTTTCCTCCCTCCTTGTCGTCCTCCTCTTCGCCCTCCCCAACCGCCGGCTCCCCACGACGTAGCCACTCCAGCGCCCTGGAGAGGCTGGAAACCAAGCTTCACCTCCTTAGGCAAGAGATGGTAAGTGTGCTGCTGCAATCCAGGGGCTCAGGGCCCAGTGGAAAGGGGGTGTTGGGAGAATGGGGATGGGGCTAGGGCGGGGGAGGCGAGTGCTGCAGAGTGCTGGGCGCGTGGGAAATGCGAGGTGGGGGAGCGCGTCTGGAGGAAGCTGCTGCAAAGCTTGTTTACCACAGACTTTGCTCGGTCACGGCGGTTTGCTAGGACCGCGGAGGCTGCACTGCCTTGTGTGCTTTCTGGTAGCGGTGATTATCCGTGGCCAGCACTTTTTAGCAGCGGGCCCAGGTTCCAGGCGAGTTGAGATTTGAGGTTCTCGCAGTGGTCTGGGGCCTGCTGTGCGCGCCTTTTACACTTTCGATAGGTTCAAAAGGTGGCTCTGCGCGGCGCCTTTACTGCTGAAATGGTTCCTGGTTTGCCGAGAGGTGGCGCAGCGGGGTCCTCGCCACCTTACGCGGCTCGCTAGTCCGCCAGAACCGCTCGGCCTCCTCGCCCTCGCCCCACCCCCATCCTACCCCACCTCCGTCCTCTTGATGCCGCAGCTGCAGCTGTTCCAAGGCCACTATGGAGCAGATTCCCCACAGCTGGTTCTGAAAACAATGGTCCATTCGTCCTTGATGTGCTTGTGAATAGCTTGTTCCACCTTTTGATCCAGGAAAGCAGGTGTTCACCTCCAGAACTTCTGCCTCCGTCCTCCATCCGCAATTATTTTCCCTCTGTTCACACATGTTCAATTAACCATAGGACAGTGGGTCAAGAAGAAGGTCTGATAACACTGTGCTTGTCATTCTGGATTATTTAGATCAAAACACTTATTTATTTGGGTTGAGTTCTTGGGCAAGTCACTTAACCTTTATAGACTTCAAGTTAGTTTTACAGTGATGAGCCGTGGAAGACTATCTCTTCCTGAAGTCCTTTGGAGAAAATGGCCACAAACCAGCATCATTTTCTACCAGTTTGAGGAGAAGCAAGGTTTCCATAGCGAGTGGCCCTCTGGCACATAGAGTATGCTGATAAAGATTTGCTACCAAGAGACCTGGTTTACTAGAGATTTTGTTTAATTTCCCCATTTTTCTCTTTATATACTTGGAAGAGTCCTAGAGAGAATAAATTACAAACATAAAATAATATTGGCAAGTATTTTAGTGGAAAAAGTCGGGCTTCAGAGGTCATGTCCTATGTTAGAACATTAGGAGGTCACTATAAAAGTCTCTCACTGGATCTTTAAGGCTGGTCTATGTAAAGACTTAGTTTTTATGCCACAAATATCCGTTCTCTTCCCACTAGGAATGTTCCAGATATTGAAAATGAATATATGTCAGTATATCACATTTATTTATGAGTATATTTACATGTGAATATATATTTATGTACTGTATGTGCTGCAAATGATTTTACTATTATAGTTATAGGTTCAAGTATACAAGTATATATACAAGTATGTTTCAAGTATACAAGTTAGACATGTTAGTCATTCAATAAGTATTTATTAAGCATTTACTATATTTTAACATTTAAAATTGCTGATTGCTGAAAATGCAAAATGAAAAAGTCAAGAAGCTTGTCATTTCTCATCTGTACTATAATAAGCCAAGTATGTGTTGAAGAAATCTATAGAGTAAGGAAAAAATGCGGTCATTTTCAACAAATAATATCTTATGGACATATACTTTTCTCAATGAAACTTTCAGCTGATAAAAATCTATTTCTCCAAATCAGATTTTGCCTTTTATAATCAACCTACTAACAATTAAAACAAAAACAAAAAAAAGTCGATAACAACAGCAATAGCAGATTGCAAAATTGACATTGATTGTATTTTCTATGTGAAGTTTCAGTTCTATACTGAATTAAGAATAATTTATATCTGAACAGATTTTTTTTCCTCAAACTTTGCACGCTAATAAATGTTTCCATTGAGCAAAATATTGGCTCTAGGAGTCTCAAAAGGAAGTACAGTCCCTCCCCAAGACCATTTCACCCTATTTTATATAACTCTTTTGAATCCTCAAAATCTAGCTTCAGCACAACTGCAAAGCAACAGATTTGTTTTCATGTGGAGTTGGCAATTTCATTATAAACACTGAAAAAATGCACTTGTGCAGTTTTTCCTGTCTTCCCCAAGCAGTATTTTGAGCTCTTAATAGATTAAGCTTTGACCTGCCCTCAGTACTCTTTCCTAAGCAATACCTTAGCTATGCACAAAGCAGTTTAAAGACTCCTAAAAAGAAGCCTTTTTCCCCATTAGAATGGTTATAGAAACCGAGGACCCAGGAGAGGATACACTTGCAGGGACTGTTAGCCTCAACTCTTAATGTTGGGTACTCACTATTGATTTCACCATGGTCTGTCATCTCATTCTACTGTCTTAATGGATACTCTCCCTAGTTCTTGTCTGTAAATGTTACAGTCACTGCTCATCAAGATCTGTGAGATGAGTTATAAAGCAGACAAGCTGAAAAAGATTTTCAAGAGCAATGAGAAATTGCAGTGGTCCAGCTTCTTAATGATTGAATGTTATAGCAACTCAAATAGCGTCATCTGTAAGAAAAGGAAAATATTAGAAAACAACATTTATAGGTAGGATCATTTTGGGGATGTTTTGGGATGGAGCAAATTGTCCACTTGTGAAGTACTTTTTTTCCTTCCCCTTTTATTTAGAAATAAGGAAATTTGACAATCTGATAACCAAATACAGAGATACACTCCGGAAATTTATGAAATAAATATTGGGCTTCTCATATAGCCTGCTGAAAAGTTGTTCACTTCATTGTGTATCATATCACCTTATCCTAAGGTTAGACTAGAAAAAGGAGGAGTTTTTCCACTTTTTTGAATGACAACACTGTGACCCAGCAAGTGGCTGAGGAAGCAGGCCACCATTACACAGCAAATGGGATAACAGAATCACCACTTCCACTCATTTCATCTGATTCTGGATACTCTGCTTTTCTTCTATCTCTGTGCATATTCCAGTACTTTGTCTTCGAAATACAGTATAGCAGTCACATGTCTGATGTTTCACTACTGTGTAGAGTGATGGAGGAGCCACAGACATAAGCCTTGGGATTGCTTTAGGTATGGATTCATCCAGACTTGTTTTTCAAATTTTCTTAGGAATGGCACCTTATTGATAATTAAATGTTACTATAAGTTTAAAAACATCTCATAGAAAGTCTTTTTTCAATAAATGTAAATAATCTCTAGCAAAGCCTGTCTTGGCATTTAGTAATACTGTATCTTCTTTACAAGCTATAGAGGTTTTGGTGTTATTTCAGTATGCCTGAATCAATCATACTTGTAGTTTGAAAGTGAAAATCATTTCGATCAGCTTACTCTGGAAGAAGTTTGAAATACATAAAATAGTGATGACCATCACTAAAGAATAGGAAATTGAAATAGGGACCTGAATGTATTGCTCCAAGTCAGTCTTCCCAGATGATTGCCATTCAGAAACTCAAAATATAGCTTGACATGGAAAGTGTACTCTCTGTCATCCCATATCCTGAATTCTATTGAGTTCTGTGCTATATAAAGACAATTTACCAATCTTTGGATAGTGAAATGCCAATATGAAAATTGACTCAAAAGTACTATATCCTGATTTCCGTATTTTGGGCCGTGGTGTATATAGCAGCTCAGTAATCATGAAGCACAAGAAACATCAAGTTAGTTCTTTATCCCTTTTTACTATTAGTCAAATATAGTATGTCACCTGATCACTCACTTCCTGTTTTGTTTCCTAACCAACAACTGGGATTAGACACATAAATGCACATATATGCAGAACAAATGCATACATGATGATAGAACACAAATCAATATTTAAAATTCTTTGAAAATGGTAGAATTATATTTGACCTTTATTGACACTTTTTCTTTTTCTGTTGCCTTTTCTGTCTTTTAATTGACTTGCTTGCTTTTGTACTGAAAAGAAAAAATAAAGTCATTTAAAGTTCTTTAGAACAAGTTAATAATTTCATTAAATTAACTTCACAGTTGCTTCGTGCATGCTGTAGTGTAGGCTAGGAGATTATTATCATTCAGATACCTTTAGGCAGAAGCTTAAAAATGGAAGGCATCTTCCTTGATGAATTCCAAAAGATAGCAAGAAAGATAATATGGGAATATTATTTGGCCAGAGAAAGATTACAAACTACTGTCTCAGCAGGTTCCTGATATCTTGCGGAGATCAGATACAAGCTTTGAGACAGACATAGCTGAGGAGATAACTAGCAGAAATGTGCCTGGTGCAAGAAATTAAAAGTATCAGTAATTATACAAAATAAGGTCTTAATATCAGGGATAAGAACACCAAAGGAATGAGGGAATCTAATTTGTAACAGTGGTTTCTGTTGTCTTTTTGCCCATGGAATATTAATGAACTTACTTAATCTAATAAATAAATCTTGTTGAAGCATGTGTCCATAACCAGTGGATCCCAGATTGGCACCAGAGGAGACACAGGTGGTAATGTCATTCTGATAGAAAGACATAATTTAGAAGACTTACACATAACTTGAAAATAGAAAAATCTCAAAATTGATGCACCTCTTCCTGTATCTAGGAAAGCATTTTGGAACGTTTGTGCGAAGAACTGTTTCTAAAGAAAGATTTGTCCTCTGTTAAGGTTACACATGTCTTCCTTCCATATCAAGAAGACTGTGTACCGGATAGGAATCTTTAAACTGAAGAAGTTGATTTCTAAGATAACCTAAAAACATATATTTACCTTATATTGTAGTGATGAGTGTGCCTTCTGTTGTACTGATGAATCACAAAAGATTTTTTCATACATTCAAATTTAATTAAAATACTTCTTAAACTGAGATTCTAGCAGATAGCTCTGAGAGTCTTGATCTTGTATTCTTTTCAAAGCTCTTCCTCCACTACTCACATGGTAGCCATTCAGTTTGGTTTGGTTTGGTTTGATTTGGTTTGGTTTGAAATCTTCTTAGGTTTCAGGGCCAGATAAGCTTAGGGTTTCAGCAAAGTCTAAAGCAGGT